GGGAGCCGGGGGAGCCGTCCACACCCAAGGGAGCCGAAAACCGTACACCCACTGCGCCCCGTCTGCCCTTCAGTATCCCCTCCGTGATCCCCCAAGGTAAGCGGCCTAGGGAAGCGACCTCTCCGCCGCAGCACCTCGGCGTTGCTTTCCCAGAGTGTATCCACCCACTCGCTCACCCGTGCATCCGCTCAGCCGCCCACCCATGCACTGTCCCTCCCTCTCCCTCCCTCTCCTGCTATCTTTCGAACAACTGTGTGGTAGGGGGTCTTGAGGCCAGTTTATGTATTGCAATAGTCCCTGACGAATTTTTTAAAAACGATGATCCACACAGAATTGCCACCTTTTTGTTTGCCAAGTAAGGATATTTTAAAACGTGTAAAATTGACGTCTCTAAGTTAATTCTTTTTAACAAACGTGTGTGAGCACCTGGCTTAGCAGGTGTGGAGACAGCATGGTGAACTCTGCCTGAACGGTGCTTCCGGTCTAGTGTGTGAGGGGAAAGAACTGGCGATAAAGAAAAGACAATGTCTAACATCTGACGGGGAGGGCAGGGTTCTTTATATAGATCTGGGAAGCGAGTCCTGCGTGAGAAGGAAGCAGTCTTGGGCATAGCCGAATGTTCCAGAAAGAGAGAAGCTGAATAGGCAGAGAGCTGGACAAGAAGGTCCTGCGAGCAGAGTGAGCGGGATGAGATGAGGCTGAGAGGTGGAGCAGTCGGATGGTGTAGGGTCTTCGTGGGTGAAGAGTCTGCATTTTTATTTCAAGAGTAGTGGGAAAACACTGAAGTATTTAAAACCAGGAGAGTGACTTGCTCTGATTTATGTTTTAAAAGATTACTCTGGCTTCTGTGAGGGGGATGGACTTCAGAAGGCCAGCGATGGAGGTGAGAGATAAATTAGGAAGCTATTGGAGCAATCAAGGTGAAGGGTGATGGTGGCCAAGTTGATGGTGAGAAGTGGACTGATCCAGGTTGTAGTTTGGAGGAAGAACTTACAGGATGAATTGAATGTCGGGGAGTGAAGGGAAGTGAGAAGCGGCTGAGTAGATGGACGAAATGTTTACTGAGATGGGATTTCTGCCGAGAGCCAGGTTCAGGGAAAATTGGAGAGTCCCATTTTGGACATATTAAATTTGAGATGGCTATGATTCATCCAAATGTAGATGTCCAGTTGTAATGTGATATATGAATGAGTCTCCTGTGTGTGTGTCTGTGCGTGCGCGTGTGTGTGTGGTGGGGGGCAGGGCTGGAAATTCTTCATGGAGTGAAGGGGCTCACCTAAGGAGGGAGGGATTGAGACTTGAGGATGTGGCCTTGGGCAGAGCCCCAGAAAAATCTAATATTGGGCAGAGCCAGAAAAATCTAATTTTGAGAGCTAAAATACTAGAGGATTAAGAAGTGAGGAAGGAGGAAACCCAGGAGGGTGGGGTCACCAGGCCTATCTGCCCAGACATCAACCCTTGTCTCACAGAAGCACGGCTCTCAGATCATCAGTCTTTCTTCCCAGAATGGAGAGGATGGGGCCAAATCCTAAGACCCTCCATAGATGTGGGGACAACTAGCGCTGTAGAGGACCCCTGGAGAACAAGCAGACACAGGATGGTTTGTGAAGTGGCAGTGTCCTTCCTCTCCCAGATCTTCTCTGGGCCTC